AATTTATTCAAGACTGTACCTGCTGTTGTTACGACAAGATGGCAATTTTATTAATTTATTCAAGACTGTACCTGTTGTTGTTACGACAAGATGCAAGTTTACCGCAGTTTTCTAACATACGAATGAAATCTTTATTGTAAGCATTTGATGTGGAAGAAAGATATTTCTTCAATTTAGAGTTTTCTGTTTTAGATAAATAAAGTCTGTCATTCAGTGTATTTCATTTTATATTTTTCCAAATCACGCCTAACTTATCAGTATAAGCTACGTCTTTTACGATATTTTCAGAATGTTACCATTTCCTATGTCCACTTTAGTATCTTCGCTTGCTGTTACAACATCACAATACTTATCTGCACGTACGTATTTATATATACATCTATAGATAATTTCTGCTATATTGTTCATTCTTCGTTGTTTTTAACAGTAGTTTACTGAATCTACTTCAGTGTGGGAAATCTTTTGTTACGCCTACATTTGATACCGTTTAACCCTAACTTGATGATACTAATCATTTCATAATGTACATAATTTTCAAAATATATTTAATTATTATTTATCTTGTAATAACTAACATTACGAGAAATATATGTATAGATATTAACTTTCAAACATTTAATAAGATACTCCAGCAATACGAAGTACAAATGAAACTATGTATAATTTTGCTTACATAGCAAAGTGCAAAATCGTAAAAGCGCGATCTATTTGACGACGATGAATCAGAAAATTAATTTTGGAGATGGCTTAAAAGTGTATGAAATAAACTTCATCACAAGTAGCAAATATACAACGTTTCGACAAGCTTTTGTCCCAGATGATGACAAAAGCTTATCGAAACGTTATACAGTTGTTTCAAGCCGTTTTGAAACTTTATTAACGTTATCTATTGTTCATTATGATAAATAAGATGAGCATTTTATGAAAATGAATATAACTGAAACTGCGTAGACAGCGTTATCTGTAGATTAAGATAGAAATTAAACTCATATATATTGTATTTTGGTTTACACCATTTCAAACTACGACGATCATGAAATAAGGATGTTAATGAAGAAAGTTTTATCCATGCCAAATTGAAGGCCACATTTTCTAGTGTTGTTGTATGATAACAAATTTCAATAATTGTTAAACAATTGATCATAATTGCATCGCGAAAAGTACTTTTTAACCCAACTCTCTGAGTCTACAAAGTTGTCAACCTCATCTAAATTTTAGCCTTTTAACTATCATAGTTTTATATTGTTAGCCCAAGAACGATATTCAAAAAAAAAAATGTTTTAATTATCTTTTTTTAAAGGAAAATATTTTTGTTCCAAATAAATATATTTTCTATGAAAATGAAAGTACATTCTTGCAAAATTTTACAATACAGCGTCTAGCACTACAATACAGTGTTAAACTTATATTAAAGTGTCTAGCAATACGTTTATTATAAAACTCTAAAACAACGTGTTTGGAACGTTACGATCTTAACTCACCGATACATAATCTCAATGTCATTTCATCTTTTATGAGAAAAAAATCCCTAGAAACACTTTTTCTTGAAGAAAAAAATAATTCCAGATTTTAGACAACCGGCGAAAATAGTGGGACAGTAAAGGTGTTGAGTTCCGGTGGCTCAGTGGTAAGTCTGAGGACTTATGACGCTAACAACCGTGTTTGGATACCGTAAAGATAGCCCATTGTGTGACCTTGCACTTCGCAACAAACAAACAAATTTAATGGCGTTCTTATATCTGGAACTTCTTGATTCGGGCGGATTACGTTTTTTATTATATAAAACTGTGTTAAAGAAAAGTGAAAGACTTAGCTTTTGATTCATACACATACACTTTATTTAAACGGAAATTTGTTCACAAATAATAATAATACAGCAAAAGAAACCATCTTGTTCATTCTTTTCTGTATCAGGAAAAGTATCTTGGATAATCAATAAATAATAACAGAATTAGCTATTCGTATATCACCTGATGCTATTGGTTAAAGTGAATGACATGGTCAATATTTTACAAAGAAAGTTGAGGTAACACTTTTCATCGCTAATTCAAATTTATGTCTCTGCAATATTAAGTAGAAGAAATATTTATGTTACGTAACTACTGGAAAAAAATACTACTTCAGTTACTTAGAACAACAAAATTGTCGGTTTAATCATACGTTTTGGAAATCTATATTTTCCCAATAATGGACAAAAATTTAGTCAGTTAGCTTTTATCTAGGATATAACTATGCAAAGCAATATACGGTTCCGTAAACGGACATTGCCTGTCCATTTATCTCCTCCAACCTTGGGTTTGGAACTTCCTGTTTCCGTCACGTTTGAGTTCTTGGTCTTGGTGTTCGTCTTCGGTGTCCACGGACTTTTTCTTCACAAGATGATCCAGGTACGTCAAGTAATTCAGAGACTCGTGGAATGGATTTCGTGCTATCCTCCAGTCGAAAGGAGTGGTTTGGTCGAATCCATAAATGACGTCAGGTGATGCCAGATGAAGGCCACCACCATATTCTGGGTTGGAAGCAAGTTTTTTCACGAGCGTGAGGCTGCGGAACGGTCCTCGACCGAAGGCTTCCGTGGTCTGGAAGGTTACCAGGGCAACCAAGGTTACCAGGGAAACAATAGAAGAGGTTGTATGGGACATTGTTTCGTAACGTTTCTTCTGGCTATTGAAAAATGATAAAATATTTCTATATCTCACAATGAAATCTAACACACCTGTTAAAGTAATCAACGCTGAAACAATATTTCATAAGTTTTACGCTTTATTGTATCAAATATGTCGTAGATAGAGGCTTTCGTGATATATCATATTGAATATTTAAGTGGTTTAGATGTTGTTCGTTGATAGACTAAAGGGAAAGCAGCTGGTCAATACCATCCACCACCAGCATGTGGGCTACTCTAATCAAATAGAGGGATTTAACCGTCACTCTTATAATGCACCCATGGCCCCAAAGTGCGAAGCACGATTTTTTTGGCGGTAACTGGGTGCGAACCACGGATCCTCAATTCCACAGTCCGGCATGCTAACCATTGATCTGCACTTGACCTTGCTTTAGATAAACAGACAGTTCTAACTTAAGTAAATACATCTCTGATAATGTCTTGAGAAAAAACCTTTGTCTACTCTTTGTATAATATTGATAAATAGTGAACGAAACAGTAGTTCCTCATTCCTGTAGTCAAAGATTGGTTTTTGGGTTTGTTTGTTTTTAATTTCGCGCAAAGCTACGCGATGGCTATCTGCGCTAGCCGTCCCTAATTTAGCAGTGAAGGAGTAGAGGGAAGGCAGCTAGTCATCACCACCCACCGCCAACTCTTGGGCTACTCTTTCACCAACGAATAGTGGGATTGACCTTCACATTATAACACCCCCACGGCTGAAAGGGAGAGCATGTTTGATGTGACGGGGATTCGAACCCGCGACCCGCAGATTGCGAGTCGAGGGATTGGTTTTTTTGGAGTAGGAGAACCCTTTAAGTATATTTCACTGTGTGCCTGAAAGGTATAAGATGATAGGAATTACCAGAGAACAAAGAAAAAAAAATCAGTGTGTGGTACAAAAAATGACTACAGTTTTTAAATTATTTTCATTCATTTAAATTAAAAACATAAGAATATTTTCACCGAGAAACAGAATCATTGTATTTTGTGTGTGTGTGTTTATGAATAAATAAGTATATCCCCTGGTGGGTCAGTAGCAAACTTACAGACTTACAATGCTAAGATCAAGGCTCTATCCCCCGCGATGGACAGAGAGCAGTAGCCCGTTGTGTAGTTTCACGCTAGAACAATAATAACGTGTATAAATCAATACTTTTAAATTTCGTGGCTCTGAGTAGAGAGTCTCTGTAGAACTCAATGACAGGAAAAGCATGCGAGTGATAGACGTGCGATTGGGCGTATGATAAGGAAGTTTAATATAACAAGTGTTGAACTTCAAGTGTTGATAAGAGAGACATTATGTTTGACAAAAATTACGGCAAATTTCATTAGTTATTTTCAAAATTTTTAATTGCGTGATGAGGAACCAACACTTAAAATGGGTAATTAACAAAATTTAAAAGTAAAGGCCGCGATACTCTTGTACAAAAAAAAAAAAACAATCTCAGCTTTTAGAAAACAACACTTGAATTTCGGAAATGAACAAACTATTTAGACAATAATCATTTTATTTTTACTTTTATATCAGAACACAAGTATACTTACGAACAAGTGCTAGTTTCCTAACTGCTAGTCAACTTCACCGTCTCTTCTGTCCTCTTGCAGATTTCAGGCTACTTTTATTAGTCACGATATCGACGTCATCAGTACTGAAACTAAAGGAAAACAGAAGCTCCTCCTACTTAGATCTGTTAACCCAGCTGTGTGTATATCTTATTACGTAAACCCCTTTTCTGATTGGGGAGAGAAACATTTACTTGGATGATAGATAAGCTTTCATACGTCCGCCTTTAGGTATACTATAGAACTGATATAAATAACGTACAGATTTTAGGTTTAAACCGTTAAAATGTAAGTTTTAACGAGGTTTTCCTATTTCAGGGAAACAAGCCTCAAACTATACTCTGATTTCGTTGTAATTCAATATTGTAAGAAGGAAACTAATTACACTAATTAATCGTATTTAACAACTTCCATCTTCAAAGTTATCAGTATCATTAAGGAAAAAAATTAATATTTTTCTTACTCTTTTAGAAATTAAAATAAGTGAAAACACTATTTAAAAGGTTCACTAATTCTAGTAGAGTTTTTGGCTTGAAGAGTTGGATGACGTTTCGGCTTCTATACCGAGGACTTATTCAGTTTACAGCTGAATAAGGCTTCAAAATATAAGCCGAAACAGGCAGGAAAAACTCTACTATGTCTACACTGTCTAAAATACCCTTGAAATGACATTAACTTGTTTTATTTGAAACAACGAGAAACATAAAATATTTAAGACGAAGTTGATTTCACGATTAAATGTTCTGTTTTACAAAAATTAAATTAAAATATAAAGTTTCAGCCTTTATATAGTTTAATAATATATTGAAATTTGTAATTATACAAGTTAATGATAATATTTGGCAAGTAGTTCATTAAGATATAATCATTGGTTGTTTTTACTTCAAGACTGTAGTCAAGATTGCGTGTTGTCTATTTGTAGGGGGGGGGGTTCTTCTTTTTTAAAACAGCGAGCGATATTACTCGTGCTGTGAGGGTCCCACTACAGATTTGTTATGTAAAACATTGTTGATATTATTTTGCTTTAGACAGTGTTGTTAACAAAGTTTTGTCAAGGTGACATTTTAATTCAGATATGGTCAATTAATTTGGAGATAAAAACCTGTGAGAGGGACACTTAGTGAAGTTTTAATGAAAATGTATCCTTCTCATACTTTAATTAAATATTATGTTCCGTGATTGTTTCTTTGTTTGTTTGTAATTAAGCACAACGCTACACAATGGGCTATCAGTGCTCTGCCCACTACGGGTATCGCAACCCAGGTTCTAGCGTTGTAAGTCCGCATATGTTCCTTGATACATACACAATGTTTATTTAACCTTTGAACTATATGGGGCCCGGCACGGCCAGGTGGTTAGGGCACTCAATTCGCAATCTGAGGGTCGCGGGTTCGAATCCCCGTCACACCAAACATGCTCGTCCTTTCAGCCATGGGGGCGTTATAATGTGAAGGTCAATCCCACTATTCGTTGGTGAAAGAGTAGCCCAAGAGTTGGCGGTGGGTGGTGATGACTAGCTGCCTTCCCTCTAGTCTTACACTGCTAAATTAGGGACGGCTAGCGCAGATAGCCCTTGTGTAGCTTTGCGCGAAATTCAAAAGCAAAACAAACAAACAAACTTGAACTATATATATATAATTTCTTTAAGGCTTGCAAGTATATGCATAATAATATTTGCTCATAAAATACGTGTATTATTTATAGGGGGATTCAAAAGTCCACTGTCAGGTAAACAATACAAAAATGGAGAGGAATAGGAAAATAACTGTTAATGGTATGGAATGAAGTGTTGTTGGCCTACTCTTTAACAATATGATTCAAGGTTATCTGTTTCGAAAAATGTAATAATATGCATCACACATCAAAAATATCAACTGTAAAGGTATAGGGAATAACAAATAAAACAATTTAAACTAAAAACCACCGAACTGTTCCACAACACCAGTTATAGTCATGAATGTAGATGAAGTAAACACCTTAACGGTATGTTAAAATCCTGTTAAAATCAATAGCAGTGTTCAAAAGGTCACATATACTAATATGGCGGCTTCACTGTCAATCTTGGTTGCTGTTCTTGATCTGCCCGCATGGCAACTATGTGTAAATGAGCTTGTAGTACGCAGCCGCTGACGCACATTCCCTATCATTTGAACCATTTAGCATAGAACCTGCCAGTAACCCTGGCATTCTGTGCTCCTATGTTATTTTATGTAGGAGGCTTTTATTTGAATTTTAAATTCTATTTACCCTTCGAAGGTGCAATGATCTGCTTATGAAAAATTGTGATTTTGCATCCCAAATCTAGGTTTGTGTAACAACCTATACTATGGTCAGACTTCGATCTTCTGTAGCATGGAAGGGTGCATATATGCCTATAACTATTGTTCTTAAGGGGCAATTTTAGGGGTTTTTGGTTTAAAATGTTTCAATTTTTCATTTTCTGTATTTTTCACATTCACATTTTTAGGTGTATGATGCATATTAATAACATTTCCGAAGGATATGACCTTGAATGATCTCAATGACAGGCCCACAACAACTCATTCCATATCTTTAACAATAATTTTCCTCCAAGCCAACCACCTTTCTTATCTAAAGCCTTTGTGATAGGATGGTACCATTTGTTTGTTACCCCTTAGTTAATATATATATATATATACATTTTCGAAATGTTTGTCTTCTTTCAATTCACTTTGGATGTAGAGAGTCACTCAGTTAAACAACTAAATGTTTCCATACTCTAGCTGCACACGGGACCATGATCTACTCATTGGTCGTTAAGCGTTTTTCTTGCAGGCAAGATAGATGTGACTTTACTCAGATGCCCCGAAATAGATAGCTGTCTTTTCTGTCGGGGAATCACGTAATGGTCCTGAGATTCTTCACTTTACGCTAGAACGGGTATCGTTCCAAATCACGTGTACGAGGTGCGTGCCGTGAGCAACCTAGCTTTGTTTATGCATTTTATTATGGTACTTAAAGTCAGACTGTATCTTCTTAGGATATATTTATATTTTTGTTAAGACTAGCTTTTTGGCTTACACATTTGGTAAGCCTAAATTCGACACATCTTTAACATCATTCTAGTCTTCAGATTTGTTTGTTTAACTTTAGTTTACTATCAGCTTTCAGGGATTGTTTTAAAGTTGTAGCTCTTTTTTTTGTCTTCAAATTACAGGGTAGATGAGTTCACACGAGACTGACGATAGCTAAGCATTAGAGGTTTCTTTTTAACATCTCTTTCTCTCTCTTGCAAGTCTAACACACACTTGCCCTTGTTCTATTTTAGTATATTCTGTTTGAACTTTCATTGTGTTTGTTTATTAAAGATTAAACTTTTCATTTTCGTGTGTTGACTCTTTCTTTGCCCCCCAGTGGCACAGCGGTATGTCTGCGAACTCACAACGCTAGAAACCAGGTTTTGATATCCGTGGTGGGCAGAGCATAGATAGCCCATTGTGTAGCTTTGTACTTAACTATAAACAAATAAACTCCTTCTTTGTTGAAGAACATAGCCAGAGTTCAGGGAGACCAATACTTTGTGACATCTTATTTTTCGAGTTTCCTGTTAGTGAACCCCACCTGTTTGCTCTGCGGAAAATCTGTGCACTGGAATGTACCACACCCTATACTTCTAGACATCTTGTGTTATTTAAGGAAGAGGAGGTTTGTGTTATTTTATGATAACACATTCCTTTCACACCAGTTATATGATTCGGAATTTTGTGTGTAATATTCTATACGTTATAGCGTATAGTTAATTTTCGTCGAAATGCAGTTTTTATCCTACTTGTTTCTAGCTTACATAACCATTATATTTCATATTATATCTTTATCCCATGACGTTGATTTATTGTATCATTAGACTTGATTATGGAAAAAAAAAGCTTAGATTTAAATACAGACAAGAAATAAAACACCCTCTTTAGTGAAAATTAAATTTTTTTTTCACAAAATTTCCTTCTTAATCTTGCTCCATTTTGAAAAAGTAAAAATATTTATTTGATGAGTTTCGTACAAAGCTACTCGAGGGCTACCTGTGATAGCCGTCCTTAATTTCGAAGTGATAGATTGGAGGGTATACAGCTAGGCAACGCCACAAACTTCAAATTCTTGGGCTACTATTTACCAATGAATAGTGGAACAGTTCGTGACATTATAGCGTCCGTCACGGAAGAAATGGGCATTGTGTTCGGGGACAGGCTTAAATCCCGCAAGCTGCAGATTGTGATCGAGCGCCCTAACCATTAGGCCATGCTAGGCCAAAATGTAAAAAAACACACTAGAAAGTTTTCATGTGTTAAGAATTAAGAATAGTAGAATTGCTCGAATAAAACTTTAATCACTTTAGAAAACTCTAAGATTTGAAAATCTCGTGTGCAAGACTGATCAAATAATTAGAAATACTAACAGTTCCGTTTTTGAAATTTGGCAGATTTAATTAAATTGTTTTGATTACACTAAGTTTATAGTTTACTAAAAATTAATCATTCCGAAGTATTAAATAACACATAACCGGTTATATGTTATTTTAATACTTCGGAATGGTTAATTTTGTCGGTGGATATTTTGTGTTAAAGAAATATAGTCTAAAGAAATCTTATGTTAGCAGTTTAATTTCCATTTATTTGCAAATTCAAACCTTGTATGCTTCCTACGTTTTCCACGCTTTACAACATGAACGCAACTGGGATTTTTTAAACCAATAAACACACCTATCAGTGTTAGTGTAAGGTTAAATCAGCTAGCCTAGTTTGTAAATGCCAATTTTAGTGTTACTAAAATGCTTTTTCTGACTAGCTCAGTGAAGTGAGAAAACCTTATTAAGTCATGATGCGCTTTCACCAAGACATCGTGACATGTTTGTTCGATTTCGTGATTGTTGGTTCGATTTTCATTGAACAGTTTGTTGACCAGTCAACCTGAAAGAAGACAACGTGAGACTGAAGAGGAATGCATCGAAACTAGTTTCTACAATATGAAGACTTCTGAAAGTTTGTTCCGTTTACTGTGATTTATAACTGGGGCGCAAGCAGCCCATTGTGCAGCTTTGCAATAAAATTAAACAAGCAAAAATCTCCGTTCAGATCGAACGTTCTATTGACTTGTCTGGTCGTAAAAGATGCCAATGAACTGTTTTCTTAACGCGAGATTTATTCAGGAATGCAAAGAGCATAAATTTAAGCGCCACAATTGGTTTCAAGCATGAAAAAATCTCTAACTACTGTCAATGTGAAATACATTCGCAATTTGATTCCTGTGACTATAATAGATATGCGCATGGACATTTCAAGCATGCAGTTATATAGTGCCTGAAAAAAATGATTCTTTTGGTCAAAGCACATTAAAGCTGTTTGCAATTTAAAAATTTTAAAAATAAGCATAGTTTCCAAATTCAGATTTATTTTGTCCCACATATAATACTGGAATTTAGGTGGTAAATCTGATTTTCACTTTTCTGTAGTGTTTGTTGACCTAGACTTTTTGGGCTCCATTAAGCCGCGCTACATGCGAATTTGAATGCTAACTTCAGGAAGTCTCGCCCTTGGTGGTTTGTTTTATAGCAGCTTGTTGTATTACATTATTATGTTGCCCTGTTTCATCTATTATGTTGCCCTGTTTCATTAGGAGCAACTAACTTCCCACAACTGGTCGCAGATGTTCAATGATACTTTTTAAAAACTACATTTCACTTTTAGTCTTACTTTACATATATGTAAACAGAGGTAGACTTTGGTAATTAGTGTATCAGTAC